ATAGAATACGTTTTATATGTCATATTTTATTAGCTTCTTCATGTATCTATGAGAAGCTTAGATTCTTAAAACACATTGTTTTATATATAGAATCAAGTATTATTAGTTTATTACAACATGAGCTGGGTTTCGAGTTTGGGTGTAAAGGATTATTAAGGAAGAATGAAGAGCATGGAAATGGAGGGCAGCCTAGACCGTGGCCAAGTGTACGTGCCAAGGCGCCTAGCTAGGCCACGGCCAGCGTACTTATTACGTCTTGTCGTCTTGGTTTGTTCGTTGTTTGCATGCATGCTTGTACTTAGATACCTTAGGTCCTTAGTGTTATTGATTTAAGACTAGTATAACTGTATCCTATCATATTTTATTTAGTTTAGGAATATATAATTATTTAATTTCTTATTTTTTGTATTCTAGGTCTAGGGTAAAGTTTAAATTAAAATACATGACACTTGACTTGGAAAAGGGGTAAACCTGTACACGGCTTATACTCTCTAGCTGTAAATTAAAGGGCAAAGAGATTACAAACACTCGGGTGTTGTGAGGGCCATCAATAATTGTTCATTGATTAGTTTGTGGTATTTTTCACAGGGAGTAGTAGTTTGTCAGAAAAATATGGTTTTCCGTTTTCGTTTTGGTTTTGGTTTTGGTTTTTTTTTTTTTTTTTTTTTTTTTTCTTTTTTATCTTTAATTTGTCAGAAAAACACTCGGGAGTAGTAATTTTGCTTGCAATCACGTTAAAAGGCAAGGAAATATAACCCTACAAAAATTTTCTATTTGGTTCCTATCTTATAAAATTTATTAAACTACGTACAACACCTTGTGTTGTGATTATTACGAAACGGATAGAGATTATACGCTGATTAGTTCATCTTATACAAAGTAATCCTTTGTTATATTTTTTTTTCTTGCAAAAAAAAAAAAAATAGAATCAAACTTTTAAAACTTTGACTAAAAATTATAATTTGTTGACCTAAAAAAAAAAATATTAATGATTGAAATAGCATATTAACAAACTATTGTGTGATTGATTCAAAATAGTTATGTCTAACTAGATGGAAGCCCGTGCGATGCACGGTTTTTTTTATACATAAATCTCATAAAAAAAATATTATTTTCTTAATTTAACCCTATAATTTTTTTTTATTATTTTGCTTGTTAGAAAACGGATAATTTGTTTTATTTTTATACAACTTATAATGCGACCTTAATTTACTAATAATAGTTATATGAAAATTATAAGTATGATAGATATTAGAATAAAATCATAATCCTGTTCGTATTTCTTTAACCTATGATTCGTTTGTATAACAAAAACACGTTGTTCCACTATACATATATATATAGTTATAGAATCACTATTTTTCTTTCACAAACAATAATTTAGACCACCATTATTCTTTTACTCCGTATTAACTTTATACAATGAAAAATATAAAGTAAACCCAAAACTATAGGGTTAAAATAAAGACGGTGGGAGTAACAGTAAAATATATGACTTTATAAATTTTTAAATAGTTAAATGAAATATATATATATATATATATATATATATATATATATATATATATATATATATATATATATATATATATATATATATACTACCAAGAGTGTTGCATTACTAAAATTAATCTAATTGAATAAAATTAAATCTTTATAATGAAATTTCATTATCATATGTCTTAATAATAGAGTTATATGTATACACTACTACAATAATTTTTACAATAACAATATCGATATTCTACCAGAAACTATAATACACAAAAAATCAAAATTATCATAGACATCTCTTACAATCTTTAATTTTTTTTTTCCTACTATTGTAACATTATTATAGTTGACTTAGGGCTTGTTCTAATTTACTGAACTGAGCTGAAATGAACTGAACTAAATATTTTATGAGAGATGGAAATTAGGAACTGAACTGAACTGAAAATAAGCTAAAGAGAACAGGCCCTTACTTTTCCAATAATTTCTTTCCATTGGCGCATGGACATAATCCCTTCAAATATAGAATAATTAATATTAAGTTACAATTAAGTTGTTTAACAAAATTTAATACGATAAGTAACATAATTAGATTAGGTAAAACAAAACAAAACATACATCTTATAAAATAATGAATAACAATCAATTTATTTTGTTTACCATCAAAATGCCTTGATATACTTACATTATTTCCAATATTTTTTGTTAATTAACGAATTAGACCTGAAAAAAATTCACACCATGAAAAAGTGTAGATAAATAATATTCACATGTTTGTGTTTTTTTGTATTATATATATATATATATATATATATATATATATATATATATATATATATATATATATATATATATTGTCTATTTACAATTGAAAAAAAAATCAAAATTATATTTTTGAGAGGATGTATACAAATCTTTAATATTATCCTATCTTATATATTTGTGGAGTAGCAAATAAATCTCTTATAAAAAATTTTATCTAATCATGAAATGGGTTGCTAGATAAGATAAAAATTGAACATTATTGTTTTTTTTTTCTTTTTTGAAGAATATTGATAAAGACTGAACGTTATTGTTATTTATTTTTTTAAGAATATTGATTTTTTTTTAAAAAAATGAAGAATATTAGTTAATTATTAATAATTTTGATTTCTTTTAAAAAAAATTAAAAAAAAAATTGATTGAACGTTTTCTTAAAAACAAAAAGAACATATATTTTCCTTTTTCAAATATTTAATTTTAAAGTGTTTGTATATAATAATTGTATAATTTATATTTTTTTAATCATTTAAATCCGAATATCCACTAGTAGGAAAAATGAAATAGGCACCCCCCCTTTAGCACCGGTTCTTGAAAACCGGTGCCAAAAAAAATGGGCGGGATTGAAAAATTCAGTTTTGCCAACTATGGTAATCAGGTAATTAGCACCGGTTCAAACCGGTGCGAATTAAAAAAGACAAAAAAAGAAAAAAAAAACGGGGTATGCGTTACTCTGCTTCTTCTTATTTCTTTGTTTCCCTTGCTTTTCATTTTCGGTTTTCCCTAACTCTCGTTTTTTCTCACCTCTGAAGTTCCACCTTTCTCCATATCTCTCCTCCATTACGCGTGCTTGTAGTTCTGCATTGAAGCGCATTCTGAGCTTTGTCCATATCACTCCTCCACTACGCGTACTGTTAATTCTCCATTGAAGCGGATTCGAGCTTTCTCACCTCCATTGAAGCAGCTTCGAGGTAAGAATTTGTTTTTGTCCTTTTTATATTATCGATTTCAGTTTTCGCAATCTAGGGTTTGTTGTTGATTTGAAATTCGAATTTAGGGTTAGTTCTTGTAAACTAGGGTCAGGGAAAGGGATGGGAGTTTAGGGTGGTTTTGGGTTGGGGAATTCAAGTTTTGGGCGGTTTCGTTGGTGGGGCTGGGGCGGGGGTCTATTGCGCTCATGTGGCTCTGGAAGGAGGGTGGTTTCGATGGTGGTGCATGAGGAGGGGGTGGCTGTCGGGGCTGGGCTGGGGAGTGGCTGTCGGGCTGGGTGGGGAATTGTTTAATTAATTTTTTTGATTTTAGGGTTTTTGAATTTTAATTAGATAATTGAATTTATTTTACTTTTTGGGGTTTCATTGTTGTATTATCGAAGTTAATATGTTGATTTTAAGGATTTTTGAATTCAAATCAAATGAGTAAGCAATTTAATTTTTAGTTTGAATTTAAATTTTATTTATTTGTAATTTTATGTAATTGAGATTGGATGAAATCAGTGTTTTAGTGCTAATTCGATGAAATTAGGATGAAATCAGTTTTGGGAGTTGATGTTCGAGTTGTTATTGTTGGGGTATTGTTTACTTGTTCTTGTTAGATTTGGTGTTCGAATGTTGTATACTTGTTGGTTGAATTGGTGTACGGGTGGGGATGTTATTTACTTGTTATTTAAATTGGTGTTGGGCTGTTGTTTACTTGTTCGAATTGGTTTTGAGGTGTTGTTGGATTGTTGTTTGAATTGTTGTTTGATTTGGTCTTGGTATTGTTGTTGTACTTGGATTGAATTGAATTGTTTGAGTTGGATTGAATTGAATTGAATTGTTTGAGTTGGATTAATTTGATAAAAATGGTACTACTTTTGGATTGTAATACTAATCATCGTTAACCCATGATTTCATAATGCCATCCGCCCATGTAATTCTAAAATTTCAGCCATTTTAAAAAATTTTGAAGAGGGGTGAGAAAAAAGAGTTACCAGACTCTATACCTTAGAATGCCTCCCGTCAGTACCTTTTTGTGAGATTAGTTCTACTGGAAATGGCCTTGACTTCAAAATCAGTTTCTGCTTTGAGCATTCTGGCAGTCTGAATATATTGTGGACCTGTACCTGCACTGTTCAAGAATAGATGTAGTCATGTGGGGTTACTGATACTATGTTGACCTGTTACTTTCCTAAATGGATATTCCTAAATCTCTGTGGGCCTTTTGTTAGATATCCGGGAATATGATTCCCTTTCTTTGTGGTGCGTTTTCGTTTACAAATGTTAGCTTTTTCTTTAGATTTTAGGTCTTTTACACTAGTCTTCAGCTCAGATTTAGCTTGGTTCTCATGGTAATTCGTCAGGCCTTATCGTGAAGAGGATTATCAGAGTGGACATTCCTGTTGACAACTATCCCAATATATGAAGTTGGTGCAGTTCTTATATATTTTGATTGTTTGGTCTTGATTCATGAATGGTGTTTCGTATGCAACACAATCTCATTTTACCTTTTTCAATTGTTGTAGCAGTACAACTTTGTCGGGCGACTGCTTGGCCCGAGAGGAAACTCTCTCAAGCGTGTTGAAGCTACTACTGATTGTCGTGTTCTTATCAGAGACGTGGCAGCATTAAGGATCCAGCAAAGGTGAATCCTTATTGTTCATGTGCTTTGTCATTTATAATTTGGCGTGATAAGGTCTTTGCTATTATGTTGAAACTATTGGAAGTATTCCCTAAACTCTAAAGTTTTGATGTTTGCTTGGACTCAGTGTCTTCTTCTTCCACTCTCTAGACTGGTACTGAACCAAATTTTTTTCAGGAAAAGAATGAGATTACATCTTTGACTGACAGACTGAGGAATGTGAATATAATGGCTCAGGTTGCTTCTAGAATTGCTTTTTTTTTTTCTTAGGAATGTGAATATAATTACTTCTACAAATTTTTTTCAGGAAAAGAGTAAGATTACATTCGCATGAGAATGACGAGGTGGCTTACTTTTCTTTATTTAGGAGCTTCCAGAGATCACGATGCCATATTCGAATAAGAGAGGAGATTTTCTAGTTTCAAAGGGTTCTCCCTTTGGAGTACTCTCTCCACTGCATTTCTTTAACAGGTAGAATTTGACACTTTCTTTTTCCATTTTTCTTGCTTTGTCTGACGGCTCTAAATTTGAGTTGCATTTTCTACCCTTCATCATTTTTGTTATCTAAGAAGGATATAGACGAAACACATTATTGAATATTGCATAAGTCAAAGTGTTGCAATTTAGTGAAACGGGTGAAGTATTAGGTTGCTTCATTTATACATGAGATATGCCCATCTATTATATATTCATATGAGAAGAAGGATAGGAATATAGTTTGATCCCTTCGTAGGTCAGCCTGGGAGGTCAAAATATGCACAGCCTTACCCTTGCTGATAACAGTAATAACACTTATATTATTGTAGGAGTTGACATGGCTTCTGTGTTATTTTCTTCAGATCTGCTGATAGCTCTGTTCGTATGTTTGATCGGCGTAATCTTACTTCTGACGGAGTAGGATCACCTGTTCACAAATTTGAGGGCCACAAAGCTGTTGTTCTTTGTGTCTAGGTTCTAAATGTTCTTCGCATAATGATTGTAACCACATTCTATTATCCTGCAAATTCTGTTCTAAACACATCCTTAATTTCAGTGGTCTCCTGACAATCCAACTGTCTTTGGAAGTGCTGCAGAGGATGGTGTTCTCAACATTTGGGACTATGAGAAGGTAAAGAAAATTAGCATTTACTCTTGTAATGTTTTTGGAGACCTGTGGATAAAACAACTATAGGCAGAGGAGTTCAAGAGATAGGAATTAGTTTAGTTGCTTGGACTTATGGTTTAACTTATGTGCTGAAAGTTGCTCACAGTAAAAGAAATATGCCAGGGTTCTAGCTTTTGATTTCATATTCTAGTGCTAATTGTATTTGTCAATTGCTGAATTCTCTCTTGCCCTAGGTCCCCACTTTCCTTCTTTTAATAATTATGAACATCTGCTAATATCTGTCTGAAGATTATTTGAAATTGACTTTTGAATACATACCAACCATGGCAAGGACATCATCTATTTAAGTCATAGATCTAGTGTAAGAATAACCATGGGACTCTTGTGCATGGGTTATATTGTTTATTGGGAATAAAGTTCAGATAAGTTCCACAAATAATAACTTTTGACATACTCACAAATGAGTTCCCTCACAGTGGAATTAACTTAAATTTATGTCATAAAGTTCAGACAAATGAGTCGGATATAGTCATATAACTCAGATATTCAAATAATGCAAGTTAAAGTTCAAAGCTATAACAAATTCAGACTAGGTAATTTGAGACTAAATAAGCCAGATAGAACAAAGTCTTGAGATTTCTTTGCTTTGCTGATATTATAATTTTTTGGCGTGTGTTATTGAAGGGTTATCCGATCGTGAATTAGTGACATAATTAATGATTTTACAAAACTTAATAAAACTTGGATATTTCAAGCATTTCATCTTATTATATGCTGGCCTCTTTTTTTTTTTTTTTTTTTTTTTTTTTTTAATTTTGTTGTTGTTGTTGTTGTTGTTATTGTTAATTGTTTTTGCATTTTTGTACCACTTGTACAACTTTGATATACCCTCTGCTATTTTTTCCAGGTTGGTAAAAAGAAAGAGCGTGGGGTAAGAACAACGAATGCTCCTCCAGGTCTCTTTTTTCAGCATGCTGGACACAGGTTTGGCTTTTCATGTTTCTACATGTTGATATTTTCATTTCTTTTGTGTTTATAGGATATTTTAAAGACTCGGAAATTTTTCTTTCATCAAATCTTTCTACATGTTCCATTAAACAATTTTCTCTGCTAATACGTTTGTATTGTCATCTTGTAGAATAATTGATATCAAGTCTTTATAAAAAATTTAACAGTTCATGGTTCTGTCTAATGCTAAGCCCAAAAAAGCTTTTGATGCAAATTTGACATTAGCCTTTGTTTTCAAAAGTATTTTGTATGTTATCTGACTGCTGTGTTTGTTCTAATAGATGAAGTCTTGAAGCCTTGCAACTGAACAAATTTGCTTTTCTGAATTATATACAGGGATAAGATGGTTGATTTTCATTGGAATACTTATGATGCTTGGACTATTGTGAGTGTTTCTGATGACAATGATTCTAGTGGCGGCGGTGGAACTCTACAGGTACCTTTCATCTCTGATTGCTACATATGAACTAGATGTCCTGACTCATGACTCGTGATTCTCATGACTGTAATCATGATATTATCTCATTCAAAGGTGTTGTTTGGTTGGCTTAATTTCTTGGGCATTCAAAATTTCCATGAATCTCATTTTGGAACTCTTGTTTGGTTGACACAAAAAAGTGAAAACGGGGGCAATGACAATTTATGGGAGTTTTTCTTTCCATCAAAACATGGGAACCGATTGTGTAGACAGAGTTAAATGAATAGAAGGCTCTATTTGGCAGTTAGCCAAAGCTTATGTGGCTGTTACTGACGCTGGTTATCATCAGCTAATCAGCCACTGGTACTATATTTTTCTGTTAAAGCTTATAGTATCAAAGTCATGTTTCAAGCTCTGACTTCTGGCAGGGTATCTTCTTTTGGACAGGTTACACACACATGCAGTCACCGAACCATTTGTAATATCATCAAATAGACAGCTGAGTGTACATACTTCACCCAGTTCACAAACTTCTGCATCCACACTTTCGTGATACAATGCGCATAAATTCCATAGCACGCAGACTGCTCTTAACCCTAATGGGTTGTTTGAACAAGCCGTCTTTCTCAGACAGTATTCTGCGGTGTGGTCATCCAAACTGTACAAAGACTGGGTTTTCACTGATCAAGCTCTTCCAAGAGACCTTGTCCAGAGGTATGTCACCTTATTTACCCATACTAAACTAATACTTCCGTTTATAAACTCTGTATTTTTCTTATCTAGTTTTGATTCAATGAAAAATGTCCTGTCAGAGGAATGGCGGTAAAGGACTCAGAAAGCCCTCATGGATACAAACTACACATCAAGGACTACCCATATGCTGTTGATGGACTAGAAGTTTGGTCTGCGATTGAGACTTGGGTTCAGGAGTATTGCTCATCTTACTACGAGTCTGATGACATGGTTGCTACTGATCCTGAATTACAGTTCTGGTGGAAGGAAATCAGAGAAGTAGGCCACGGTGATAAGAAGGACCAAGATTGGTGGCTGAGCATGACCACTCTAAAGGGCCTAATTTTTTTTTTGGACACTTCAAATTTTTATTTGGACGAAAATTGTAATATTACAGCCTTTTTTAATGAAATTATGTAACTTTATATATATGTTAATGTTTCTATATCAATTTAAGTGAAAAAAATGCAAATTTTTTTTATTTTTTATTTTTTAGGGGTATTTTTGGCACCGGTTTGGAACAGAACCGGTGCCAAAAGTTTGTTTAAAATTTTTTTTTGAGACTTTTGGCACCGGTTCAAAGCAAGAACCGATGCCTAAAGTGGGGGTTTTCGCACCGGTTCTCACCCAGAACCGGTGCCAATAGTATTGAAAATAAAAAAAAAATCGCGCCATGGTAGTTGGCACCGGTTAACCGGTGCTAAATGCTTTAGCAAAACCGGTGCCAAATTTCATGGATTTGGCATCCCTCAAATCCCCAACGGTTCAAAACCGGTGCCAAAGGGGGGGGGTTTGAACCGGTGTCTTTTTACCTTTTTTGTCTAGTGATCAAAAGATAATCTTTTAAAAAAGATAATTTTTAGTTTTAAAATAATTTAAATCTTAATAAATCATTATTCGTCGTTTTTTCCTACGCGGCAAAATTTTTAATTTCATTCGTCACTTTTGCTTAAGTGGCGAGTGATTTTTTTAATTCTAAAGTAAAATACAAATCTAACTTTTAATTGGTCGAAATAATACCGTGCGATGCACAAATTGTCATACATATATCTCAAGAAAAGATATTTTCCTATATACTCTAAGTTTTTTTTTTATATAATTATTTGATTTATTATACAATTTAATAATTTCAGACAAAAAAAAAAAACCAAATAATTATTTAATTAAAATGATATTGTCAATTACAAAAGTATAATTTTTTTAATGTAATTTATAATACGACTTAATTTATTGTTGTTTTGTATTTTATTAGTTGTTGTTAGCTATATGACAATAATATGATATCTTTCAAAAAAAACAAAAATTGTAAATATGATATTTCATCGATTACATATTAGGATAAAATCTTTAATGTGAAAAGATAATAATAAAAATAAAATAATAATAATAATCAATTTTGAACAAAATTGTAGAACAAAGTTCTTTAATTGAGGTATGAACGTAATCACCCTGTAATTAAAAATAAAAAATTAAGTTGATTTTATGAATTAATTAAGCTACCTAAATAGAAAAATATTGTTTAAATCATATAATTAATTGATAAAAACTAAAAGGTTCATAAAAAGATTTAATAAATGTAAACGATTTATAAAGATATAATACCTCCTCATCTAATAGGATCATCAGGTGAGAAACTCGTACTTTGATATTCCAAAGATTTTTTCTCAAATATAATTCTCTGATTAAAAATAAATCTGCATGTAAAAACAAAATTCAGTAAACAAAACATAAACATATAATCATTAAGTATCCCAAATAAACACAATTTAAGCAATAATCACAAATATACATTTAAACATGGGTTTTAAAAATTAGACTAAGAATTACCCAGCCATTGGCGACCTAATAAAACTGACACAAAATTAATGACACAAAATTTGCTTGGTTTGGTTTTGTATTGATACGAAATTTTGTTGGTGTCATATGATACATCAATTTATAATGGTAAATATCACAAATTTAATTTAATTATAATTAAGGAATATTGTTTATTTCTTATCATAAACACTATCAAAATTTATCTTATAATAGTAGGTATATTAATCCTACATCTAAAGATGATTATTTTAAAAGATAATTTTTAGTTTTTTAAATAAATTAAATCCTAATTAATCAATATTCGTTGTTTTTACTTACGTGGCAAAATTCTTAAATTTCATTCGTCACTTTTGTTTAGGTGGCAAACAAATTTTTTAATTCCAAAATAAAACAAAAATCTAATTTTTAATTGGTCGAAAATATACCTTTGCTTATGTGGCGCACCGAATGCTCTAAAAAATGCATACTTTATTTATATATATACTTCCTCCGTTCCTAATTAGATGACACGTTTCTTTTATCACGTTTGCCAACGCACAATTTTAACGATTTATATCTCCCATTATCAACATTGTAAAATTATGAAAAGTGAATATTAATAAAATATACATTAAGACGATTCAAACAAGATCCCACATGATTATATTTTATTGTAGCTACAAATCACAAAATTAGTCAAAGAGTTGTTTGTGAATAGTGCAAAAGTCAAACTGTGTCATCTTAAAAGGAACGGAGGAGGTATTAGATTAGATTATTAGTAGTAGTAGTTAGGGGTGTACATAAAATACTCCGGACCGGAAACCAGACCTGAACTGGACTGGACCCGGATCGGCAGATTCAGATCTGGTCCCGGTCCATAAAAATGGGTTATTCCGATTGCCGGTCCGATCCGGGTTTAAACCGGATTTTTTTGGTCTGGGCCGTAAACCGGTTATTTTTTTTTTGTTTTTTTGGGTATAATCAGGAAACGAAAAAGAAGAGGAAAGGAAACCCTTCTAAGTGTTCTAACTCTTCCTTCTCTCTCTCATTCTCCATTGAAGCGTACTCCGAATTCTTCATTGAAGCGGCTTCACAGCTTTCTGACCGCCATTGAAACAGATTTTAAGGTAAGATTTATTTAGTATTTAATATCAGTTTTACAATCTAGCGTTTAATTTCACTCCATTGTCAATTTAATCATCCATTTAGGGTTTAGTTTCACACTAGTCAATTTAGGGTTCTTCTATGGTAGATTAATTGAACTGTTCGTTAGAATTACTCAAGTTATGAAAAATTATAACTACCGATTTTGTTACTTGTGTGAAATTTACGTTGATTTGAGAAGATTTGTATGTGATTAATCGAGCCTAATTTGATGATTGAGTCAAATTTGTTGCATAAACCTTAAATGTTAGGATGGAATTATGAATTAGAATAGTAGAGAATTTGGTTTAAGTGACTTAATTTAGCAGTATTATTGGGTATTTCTATCATCTAATTTGATTATGGGTTTTTGTTTTTTCAATCCCATTCCCTGTATTCTACCCACTTGAATAATACCCACCACCTGTTCGGCGAAATTACCACATTTGCTACTAAGCTCTGTTTTGGTTTTTGCATTTTACATGTCATTTTATTTCTGGTTGCTGTTATTTTATTGTATGCAGTTTTAGTTTATTTATTTGTGTTGACTGATTTTAATTTTCATCATTGGTTGATAAGAGGGAGAAGTTATGTGAGAAAGAAAGATTGAGAGAAATGTTTAAAGCTTGTCAAAGAATTTCTGTGACCACTGATACTTGGACCTCAATACAATGAATCAATTATATGTGTCTTACGGCTCATTTTATTGATAGTGAGTGGAAATTGCATAAAAAGATAATCAATTTTTGTCCAATATCAAGTCACAAAGGAGAGGCTATTGGAAAATCCGTCGAAGCATGTTTAGAGCATTGGGGTATTGAGGATAAGCTTTTTACTATCACTATTGATAATGCCTCTTCAAATGATGTTGCTTGTATGCACTTAAGTAGAATGGTTAGAAGAACCGGATGTATTAATGATAGAAAAAATCTTCATGTTAGATGCATTACTCATATCATTAATCTAATTGAGTGGGATGGAATCAAACAACACGGTGTGTGCATTGATAGAGTTAGAAATGCCGTGAAATATGTGCAAAACTCTTCTGCTAGAATATCTAGGTTCAAAGATCTTGTGCAAAAAGCAAATATAGATTCCAAAGCTTCCTTGTCTTTTGATGTCCCCACTCGTTGGAATTCTACATTCACAATGTTGGACACGGCTTTGAAATTTCAGCGTGTTTTTAGTGGGTTATCTCTTCCTGATGGAGAGGATTGAATGATAATGAAAGACCTCCCAAAGAAGAATGATATGTGAAAAACTCTCCCGGTAGAATATCTAGGTTCAAAGATCTTGTGCAAAAAGCAAATATAGATTCCAAAGCTTCCTTGTCTTTTGACGTCCCCACTCATTGGAATTCTACATTCACAATGTTGGACACGGCTTTGAAATTTCAGTGTGTTTTTAGTGGGTTATCTCTTTCTGATGGAGAGGATTGAATGATAATGAAAGACCTCCCAAAGAAGAAGATTGGAAAAAAGCACAGAGATTGACTTTGTTTTTAAGGGGTTCTATGTTTTGACTAAACGTATCTCTGGCTCTCATTATGTGACAAGTAAATAGAGGTTTGAGTGAGATTGTTTCCATGTATAATATGTTGAATAAGTGGGAGAAAAGTGGGGATTTGAACTTTCAAGCTATGACTATTGCAATGAAACAAAAGTTTGATAAGTATTAGGGGAATGTGAATAAAATGAACAAGCTTATTTATGTTGCTTCTATTCTTGACTCTCATTGCAAGTTCATACTTGTTGAATTGTCACTAATTGATATGCATGGAAAGAAAAGGGTTTGAAGCTTGCCAATAAGGTGAAAGAATTCACTTACACTTTATTTGATGAATATAGAAACATTTACACTTCTTCTATTTCTCAAAGTAGCCAACAAGGGGATTCGATGCCAATAGATGTTGATGTTTATTTTGATGTTGATGATGATACTGCCTTTGGTATAGAAGGGGGTGACGGTTACATGAAAAACCTTAAAGAAGTGGCAAAAAAATTAGAGGGGACAAGTGGGTATGTGATGAACGAGTTGGATAGATTCTTACATGAACGCATAGGGCCGGAGGAAGAAGAACTAGATGCATTAACTTGGTGGGGTATTAATGGTCATCGCTATCCGGTTCTTAAGTGCATGGCACGTGACATCCTAGCAGTCCCACTGTCTACAGTTGCGTACAGTTGCGTCTGAATACACTTTTAGTACGGGAGGTCGTACTCTAGATCCATTTTGGAGCTTTGTAACACCTAAGGTAAAATCTTTCTACAATCCTTTATTTTTCTGACTAATCTGAGCTCAGTTCTAGGTTTTAAGTGCTTATTTTCCCCCTTCTCATGCCAGAATCTGTCATTTACGCAAATTTGATTAACTTATTGCTTATTTATTTTATCTCTGTAATTGTTGGTTTTTGCTTTACTCCCTTCTTAAACCCCTATCACTTCAGACTTAACACCCCCCTCTGGCCCTCTCCCCCAAGGACTTTAATTTCAGTTAACCCATATGTCTGGGAAGTGGGAACTAAGGATTGATCTGCTAACTTGCTATCTGTAAAGCAGCTAGATAATTGCCTGGTAGAAGCCCTTTTGTTGTTGAGTTGACCTACTAGATAATTGTTGGTTTTTCCTTGAATTTGTCTCTCACTGCTGTTTATTTGTTTCTCTATGAATGGCATAATTTCACTGTGAAAAGCTGTCACAAATGAGTCTGAAAATGGTTCATTGCCAATATTATTAGGCATATAAGAGAGGGCCAATGATTCTATTCTGTTTTACTTGTTTCAGGCTTGATAACTCATCATACTTGCTGCATATTTTTTTTCAATGTTAAAAGTGTGGTGGCATCTAAGCCAATTACATAGACTTTACAGGTTAATTGTATTGTGTGATTATCATTTATCTTCCTTTGTTAACCATATTAATTCTATTTGGCAAACTATTAGAGAACGCGTCTGAACACCATTACTTATCTGGTCAATCTGGTAATTAGGTTTTTTATTTGAGTAATTTGACAGTGTTGTACTGTTATCTCAGTTTCTTTTAATTCTATGAGCCTTTCAAGCCATAATAAGGGCAATCTAGAAAGAGATGTGATCTTTTGGTACTATATGAACTGACTTAGCAAAGATGTATGATTAGTGTCTTGCAAGGTGAGGTTTAATTTTGCTTTCCGTTTGCCTTATAAGAAATGGTATTCTTGCTACCCACATATTTTCCCCCCAAAAAATCTATTTGTTGCGGCTTGTTTACTCTGTTACATTATCTTCTTGTCATTACCCTCCTCATGACTAGGATGTTTCTAGATGAAGTTTGTTTTTTGTTGCTGTTTCGAGGGTGGTTTTCTTCCCACCACAATCTACCAGTTGCAGTGAAATTTTTTATTCTTTTTCTTTAAAAATATCAGCTTCCTTTTCACAGTAAAAGAAATTTTTTATTCTTTTTGTTTAAAAATATCAGCTTCCTTTTCACAGTAAAAGAAATGTACACTTAATAAACATCTTTGCAGCAAATTTGGTAATGATCTTTCCTTTAGGCTAGAGTCTGCGCGAACCTTATGCTGCTGCTGTAAATCCAGAACTTATATGGTTTTTTTTTTTTTTTTTTTTTTTTTTTTTTTTTTTTTTTTTTTTTTTTTTTTTTTACTTTTAAGTGTTGTGATGCTTTAGTTAATGGTCAGTTAACAAATGGTTTGTTATCTGATTCTGACTATGCTTTAGTTAATTTGGTAATGTTGTCTTTGTATTATGATGGTTCAAGCCCTTATTTGTTCACAAGATTCGTTAAGAGCAAAGGGATTGCCAATTATTGATGTGGAGGAAACTTTGAAAGAGTTAGAGGAAATCGAGAAAGGTAGTTATGTTATTTAGCACTTTTACTTATTTTTTTATTATTACTTATTAATTATTAATACAATCTAATATAATCTATTTTCGTTTTGATTTAGATGTGCAATGTGGTGATGTAGACAATGAAGTCATTTTTGTAGACTCGTTGGTTTGATTCGTTTGAAGCGTGTGATTGAAGGGAGATAAGGGATCAAGTATACAATCTAATATAATCTATTTTGGACTTTATGTAACTTGTTAAATATGTTTTATACTATGTTTTAACTGATGTATATAATAAGTAGATAACTATGTTTTGGACTAAAAAAAAGGTCAATAGTTTTGTCCCAAAGAAGGTCTTGAAACAGGTCCAAAATAGGCCTTTATAAAGAAAGAAAATCAAACCGGTCTAAATAGGTTCGCATTACCGGTTCACATAAACCGGTCCAATCCGGTTCAGGACCGGTGTTCACCCCTAGTAGTTACGTGTACTTGGTCATGAATAAAGGCTTTAGGAGTATGTTATTAGTGGGACTGTTTGTTTATTAGTCATCTGCATGTTTATTATAGTTGAGAAATATTAGGAGATAGTGGGTTTGTTTCTTTTAAGCATATTTTGTAAGTGGAGTCATGCTCCTATTATTAAGTAATTTGTTGGCATATTTTTAGCTTTGTTTTGTCCGTGATATTGGCCTATATAAGGCAAGGCAGTGACGTTTGTTTAACGAAGAATGCAATTAATGAATTATATTCAAATTCTTCTCTTTCTCTTATCTATCTTTATATTTTAATTTTAACACAAACGTGAGATGAAAAGTGTAGCATTTTACAAGAAAACGGAAAAAGTGTGTACAGTACATACTACATAGCACAGTAATAAATAAAGAAAAGTTATCATTACTAAGGTGTATATATTGGTCTTTATGTTGCTGATGAGGCCACAAAATTACTTAAAATATTTATAAAGTTTAAATTTATAAAAGCAATGGACAGCACGGAATTTGGCCAATGGGCTATAAAAGGAGGGGTGCTTACTCCATTTTTACACACCAAAAACCTTAAAATCACCTCAAGAAAATTAATAAAATAAAATGAAAACATGGATAGTAATGTTATTGGTTACTATTGTTATGGTGGTGAGCACCACTCGTTGTGCAGCCACTGCCCGACTCCGAGATGAATTTAGCGACGACGAGCGCATTGCAATTGTGCTGGGGCATTGGTGGATCATAATCTTGGTTGTAAAGAGCAATTTGAAAGATGTAATCCAAACGTGGAAAATGATTGTTATCCTCAAAAGAGAAGCGACGGCGATTGGACGGGCAGCCGGTATCAATGCATATGGTGCCCAACAACTGGCGAGTCTTGTGGAATGAATGACCCATGTTGCCCCGGCTACAAATGCGACGGCAGCGTATGGGGTACCTGTTACCCAAGATAATTAACTTAGATGTGCACGGCCGTTATATATGTGTTATTGTGTTGTATGTTTACTTGTGTTTCATTCCTATCTACTTAATTACTCCAATTCTGTACCATGTTTAAGCTTTGATGTGCACGGCACGGCTCGGCTCGGCTATGTTTGTCTTTCTTCTTTGTTTCTGAATAAGATATTATGCTCGTATTTTTCATTAATAACTAATGAATCAGATCACTGTGTTTCTAAATAAAATATCAAACTTTTTTTTTACTTTTTTTTTTAAAAAAATTTCGTTAGTCTTTAGATATGTCAACAATATAATAATTAGCTCGTTTTGTGTATGTCTGACCACACCATGTGACTACTTATTAAAGAACAAAGTAACTCTTATAAAACTGATCAATTGCAAGGAACCCCTCTAATATTGGCTGAGTAACCTTGTAACATTGACGAAATAACCCCTATTATACTAACGAAGTAACCCTTATTCTACTAACATGGTGTGATCAACCACATATAAGAATGTGTGTATAATGTTTTCTTGATTTGCAAAAACGTACTCTCTTTTATGAGTGACTTCTGTAATTATCTACAAAGTAACTTTTTCGAATTTTAAATTTAATGGAACACGATAAAGTTGATTTGTTGTTAAAAGAATTATACAACATTACAATTTGAATTGTTAAAAGATCGGACCAGGCCATCTCAAGATAGATTCTCGATCAAATGTTCACTACTACAAAATATACAATACAGAATGCCTTATAAGGTATAAAAGACGCCTATTTAACGCATTCTATATCCATTACATTACAAAACGCCTATCCAATTATTTCATGTACAAAATATATAATAAACAAGGAAAACAAAACTGTCATCTTAAGAAAGGCGTTCTCTATTCGTATAAAAAGAGAACTCCTATCTTAGACAACTGTTTTCTTCTCCTTATTTTTGTTTTAAAAAAATAGTATTATTATTATTATTACTATTGCTAATTAGTAATTAATTAAGTAATAATAATAATAATAATAATAATAATAATAATATAAAGACCAAAATGATACTCCATTTCCATTTCATTTATCTAACTTTAAGATTGAATCCAAAAGACAAACAAGCTTACATACTCACGTAAAATTTTGTTACACTACTAAAACTTGAACATAAATCTAAACTCAAGGCCTCTATCATCCACAGTCTTTTGATGATAATCTTAAAGTCAGACTCTAAGATGATTTCCTCGAACCCATACTTTTCTGGCCAACCTCAAAGCAAAAAACTAAGGCCATTGTTTCTCCTATCTCAAGCGCCCAATAAGCCCGGGATCTTCTCGTGGTTGCAATAATAAGTACCTTCCCATCTTGATCCCTTGCCACACGTCCAAGGTCAATCCATCCTTCATCTGCGAGCGAGGCATAGCATTAATTTTAATTATGGGCACACCATTTATTTGGGCTAGCAGAGAACAAAGACCAACTGCATTATAGATTGAAAGTTATACAAGGTACTTAAATAAGAAAATTTATAAGCCATAGTTCTTTATACAATCTGAGTACACCTAAGGTACCTAAATAAAGTTATTTCAAAACTAGCTTTGATTGGGAGAAAGAAAAGAGCAGTAATAGATAGAAGTCCAATCTAACTACCTCACACAGCCAAATCTAAGAAAAGAGTATCCTAAGTAATATGCAAACGAAGGATTACTCCTTTTCAACAACACATATAAATATATATATACACACACACAAGCGTTCCGTCATTAAGAGATTGAAGAAGGTGCAGGCTCATTAGTCGACCTTTTCTCCATTCAGGTGCATGTGCTATTGTATTTAATATTCCAAATAGTCAACTAGATCAAAATTTGCACTCCTTCATGAAGGGTAGAGGAAGGTGTTGGCTCATTCTTTTCCCCATTTAGGGGTTTGCGCTACTGTATTTAATATCCCAAACAGTCAACCAGATATAAAATTGCAGTTAGTTCTTGAAGAAAGGCAATCACCTCATGTTTTAGTATAAGCTGATTTTTTAATCTAGATAGAATAATGGTTTTGATTTGACAAACTTCAGCTTCTAAATATTGAGGCTGGTGCAAGCATATTGGGACATTTGTCTAATTAGACAAGATTCTCTTTGGTTAAAGTAGCATACTATCATATATCACTTATCTGATGAGCAATAATTTATACTACAACCACCTTTCTAACATGAATTGTTAACATTAGCAAAGGCAGTAAGTTCATACACAACTACAATATTATTTCCCTACTCCAGTGCGGGGTAGTTAATATATAGCTCTATAAAAGTCAACAAAAACACAACCCATAACTAATCAACTAATTCAAATTCAATTACAAAGCTAACCAACCAAATTCAAATTCAATTACAAAACTAACCAACCAAATTCTAGGACCTGACTTAGATTCATGCCACTTAAATCAAGGGGATACAATTAGCTACTACACTACTACAAAAAACCCCTTATAAGTCGGACTTTTAGAGTCACCTGTACATAAGGTGCGACTTATAAACCTATCGAGTCGCCTCATACTTATTAGGCGACTTGTTAAGTTGGGGTTAAAATCAACAAAGCACCTAACGAGTCACCTAAGCTAATATATATGAGGCGACTTGATAGGTTAACAAGGCGCACCATATATGCATGCGACTTTATAACCCGACTTATTTGGTGGTTTAAATTAGATTTTCAAAGTCACATGTACAAGGTGCGACTCGAAAACCTGTCGACTCGCCTTATACGCATTAGGCGACTCAATAGGTGAGTTTTGTTAGCAATGACTATCACCTAATGAGTCGCCTAATATGTATAATTCGACTCGATAGGTTAATGAGTCGCACCTTATATACAGATGACTTTGAAAATCTAATTTAAGACACCGAATAAGTCAGGTTATAGAGTCACATGCATATATGGTGTGACTTGTAAACCTACCAATTTGAGCTTAGGCTTTTCATGTATTATTACTTGAGAGATGATCTCAAAAAGCTCAAACAGTCTCTAAAAAATAACTCATCAGTTCATATAATCAACTGATAGTGCACACACTTAGCTTGATTTACATTATTTCTTACTTAGCTTGGTGTGAAAGCATTATCAAGGGAGAATAGGCCGTGAAAGGTTTGTATTTTAGTCACTATGATTTTATTGACTGAGTAGCATTTGTTAGTTTTATACTACATTGTCTCTAACGAACTTTTTAAATATATCACTTGACCTATACACTATATACATATATTATGTTTTTGACATTTGAATATATTATACGATGAATTTTATATACTATTATAAAATATATAAATGATATAACGTAGTATATAATACTTCAATTCATATATCATTGCAATTTTTATTAATAATTATTTAAAATATTAACTATATATCAAAGTTATGTCTTATTTAACCAAAAAATTATGACTTAACATGTGTTAATCAAAATGATAAGAAGTATATTAAAAAAATAGTGGGATTATTTGCAAATACTACTCCGTAAATATTGTGATGTAAAAACGGCAGAAGAATATTTGTTTTCGAAACACCGAAGAATAGGGGTTAATAATAAAAAGAGAAAATAATGACAAGTGTGAATTGTGATCGGGCATGTTTCACGAGTCTGTACATAAGGTGTAGGATCTTTAAATTGTTATCATGCATTTTTATTTTTATTTTTATTTTTTCAGAAAGCAAATTGTGATCATGCATGTTTCACATTTAACAATGTTTTCCCCACATGCTAGTCATTCAACGAGTCGATGTCACCTTTAACCATACTTTCCCCTTTACAGACTAGAGAGGACGTAAATTAGAGATATGATATATGTACACATAAATGGATATTACACTCCTCTCTTATTGGAAAAAAGGTAATCTTTTATATGTTGGGCCTTAATATTTTCATTCAAAATTGAAATGAAAATTCTGGAAAAAAAAAACTTGAATTCAAAATTCAAATTAAATTGATTTTTAAACTACATAATTAATTATTCTACAATTACAATGACTTTCATTTCATAGAAAAAAATTAAATTCAAAATTCAAATTAAATTGATTTTTCAACTACATAATTAATTATTTTACAATCACAATGACTTTTATTTCAACATAATAACCTTTATTTTAATATAGTGACCTTTTTTTTATTAATAAAATAATTATAGTGTCTCTAATATTAGTAGTCCACAATAAATTAGTGTGGACCAGGTCCATTTAGAGTTTGTAGCTTGTGTTTCATACCTAACTACTTAATTAACTGTGCTTTGCTTACTCTTTACCATGTTTAAGCTTCGATGTGCACAGCACAACTCGGCTATGTTTGTCTTTCTTCTTTATTTCTAAATAAGATACTACATATATTGGTCGTGTTTATATTAATACAGAGTAAGTAATAACAAAGATCAGTGTGTTTCTAAATAAAATTTCAAACTAGTGTTTATTTTTTATTCGTTGGTCTTTATGTTTGTCAATAATGTTTCTTCAATTTGCAAAGATTTGTTCTCGATCTATTGTGTAGTAGAAGATGAATGGCTCCTCAAGGAGGCTAGGCAATCGTATTCACAATATATATAGAGTACAACCTAATTAGGGTTCCTAGAGACCCTAAGTATATTTACATTGTTATAAATAATTATTTACATAATTATACTTACTAACACTCCCCCTCAGTTGAAGCCGGAGGAGGACGAATGCTTAAACTGGAGCAAAAATCGTTGAACAAAGGGCCGGGGAGACCCTTCGTAAAATGTCAGTGTATTGGTAAGCAGATGGGACGTGCAGAACTCGAATGTGACCAAGAGCGACCTTCTCACGGACAAAATGGATGTCCATCTCCACATGCTTAGTACGCTGATGCTGAACAGGATTGTGCGACATATAAATAGCACTAATATTGTCACAGTAAACCATGGTTGCCTTCTTCAAAGGACAATGGAGCTCAAGGAGGAGATTGCGGATCCAACTAGACTCGACAACAACATTGGCAACACCCCTATATCCCGCCTCCGCACTTGAACGAGATAAGGTGGCTTGGCGTTTTGAGGACCATGACATGACACAAGGTTATCACCAAGAAAGTCACAGTACCCGGAGGTGGATCGTCGTGTGTCGGGGCAGCCACCCCAATCGACGTCGGTGTAAGATATAAGACCCGTGGTGGATGAGGCAGCCAAGTGCATTCCATAATCAATTGTACCTTTGATATACCGAAGAACCCGACGAAGAGCATGAAGATGATGTTCACGCGGATCATGCATGAAGAGACAAATATGTTGCACGATGTAGGTTATATACGGTCTTGTGAATGTCAGGTATTGAAGGGCGCCCGCTAGCTGACGATACAATGTGGGATCAGAAATTGGCGGACCACTACCCGTACTAAGCTTAGACTTAGTATTGACGAAAGTAGTGGCAGGCTTGCAAGAAGACATGTCCACCCGTGACAAAATATCGTGAGCATATTGGCGTTGAGATAAGAACATACCGGATTTTGTGCGAGAGACAGAGATACCAAGAAAATAAGTGAGGGGACCAAGATCAGTCATAGCGAATTTTGAGCTAAGAAGAGAGATGAGCCTGAGCTTTAGAAAGTCCGAAGATGAAGCAAGGACAAAATCATCGACATATAAGAGCAAATAAGCCATTTCTGAACCTTTGCGATAAACAAACAGTGACGTGTCATTCTTGCTATTCACAAACCCAAGAGAAATAATGTAAGTTTCAAACCGTTGATACCAAGCCCTCGGGGCTTTCTTCAAACCATAAAGAGCTTTGCGAAGAAGACAAACATGAGAAGGTTTATCTGGTTCGACGAACCCATGAAGTTGATGCATATACACCGTTTCTTGTAAGTCATCATGTAGAAAGACATTTTTAACATCCAACTGACGAATCGACCATTGTTTCGATAAGGCTAGACTAAGAACGGTACGAATAGTAGCCGGTTAGACAACCGGACTAAAAGTCTCATCACAGTCCACTCCAATTTCTTGAGTTTTACCATTAACAACCCAACGAGCTTTGTGCCGTTCAAAAGAACCATCTGACTTTTTCTTATGTTGAAAAATCCACATCCTTCTAATCACATTCGTTCCCTGTGGCCGCGGAACCAAATCCCAGGTCTGATTTTTGTAACATTGCATTGTACTCATCAATCATGGCAGTTTTCCAATTCGGATCCTCAAGAGCATACTTGTGAGACCGAGGTGAAGGAGAAACAGTGGGGCTTAGAGTAGTAGTCCGGAAGTATTTAGGATTGGGTTTAAATATCCCACTTTTACTTCTGGTATGCATCGAGGGAGATAGTGGAGTTGGTTGGGCTGAACTAGCATGAGTAGATGAGGGTGATGGAGATGGGCTTTATTGGTGATGCTGTGAGCCCGTGATAGAGGTAGGAGAAAAAGGGATTGGGCTAGAGGGCTGGGCCGTGGGAGGAGAGGTATGTTCAGCATGTTGTTGAGTTAAAGGAGAATTGATTTGGTTTTTAATTTCCCCAAGTGAAGAATGCTGAACTAATAGAGGCTGAGAATCCTCATTAGCTAGGAAATCATAATCACTCGACACAGGAGTGTAATGACTAGAGTATGGGAAAACATTTTCATCAAATGTTACATGGCGAGAGATAATGACCTTCTTAGTTTGCAAGTCGTAACACCTATAACCATGATGAGAAGAAGGATATCCCAAAAAAAGGAGCATCATTAACCATGATTAGAGACAAGAAGAAGAATTGCGGAAGAGAGGAAAAGATTGATTTAGAAGTATGGTACCATATTAGAAGATGAATGGCTCCTCAAGGAGGCTAGGCAATCGTATTCACAATATATATAGAGTACAATCTAATTAGGGTTCCCAGAGACCCTAAATATATTTACATTGATATAAATAATCATTTATGTAATTATACTTACTAACATTGTGAGTGACTTCTCTAGTAACTTTTAGAATTCTAAATTCAATGGAGAACGACAAAATTTAATTTGTTAATAACAGAATAGATTTTTTTGTTAAAAACTACCTAATAAAACCTATAATTTATGATCAAGAAACTACCTAATAAAAAAATATTGTAAGAAACTAATTATTAAAAGGTAAAATGTTGTAAAAAAATACCTTTTGACCGGATTTCCAACATTGACCTAATTTTCCGACACCCACCACAAAACACGATAAAGTTTAATTTGTTAATAAAAGATTAGTGTTGTGGCGGAGTCGTTTTGGCAATTTGGCCTTTGATAAGCTTGTGTGAAACATGTGGTTAGGTTACTTGGCCTGGGTAGTTACTATGGGTAGGGCCACGATACCAAATTAGGAATGATCAATTGTTTTTATATTTTTAATAAAATTTAATTTATACGTGTAATATATATTTAAGGTTAAATTAGTACTTTGATATAAGTATCAATTTAATTGTGTCAATTATTTTGAAATAAAGAATATTCATGTATAGTATGATCTATAACTATAAGTTATAATAGAGAGTTTCAACAAAAGCTCAAGGAGGTGACGTCTTTATTGGGTTGGTCTCCGGATTTTGTCGATAAGGCACTCGCGGTTACAAAAGAGGATGAAATGTTTAGAGATTATGCTAATTTTGGGAAAGAAGAAGAAAAGAGGAACTTAGGGAAAAAAGGAAAAAGAAAGGAAGGAGATGGTGGTGGAGATAGTTGTGTTCGTAGGTGTATTGGTGTACAAGATGTCACCAAAGAGAAAACGGTGTTGCTGGCAAATCTTTGAATTCAGAGGAGGGTAAAGTCAACACTATTGATCAAGATCAAAGGCCCAACATTATTAATAACAATTCTGATCTGAAGTCAACTTCAGATATAATAAAACCCAAATCTTATAGGGTCAAGTTATCGGTTTTGTAACCGAAAACGTATTGATACCTATTTGCATTGCATCTCACTCCAACAATGTATGGAGCGATTTCTAAGGGACGAACACTACACTACTATTGCTCCTCCAAGAAGGATATTATTAGCATCCAAATACTCAATCCTCCAAAGAAGATGGATTGTGTTGAAACTCAAGAAGTTTTTACACTGATGGAGATTAGTCACCCCCCTTTGAAAGGGCATGATAGGTGTGAAATAACTCCAAGTTTGGCGCAAGAAGATTCGACCATAGGTATGTTTGATCAAGTGTCATCGTGTGAAAGTACGTCGGTGCCAGTTGCTCCAGTCTACTTCCCATTGAAGTTTGCTCTGTGCCCCAACAATTCCTCTTCTCAGAATTTGATGATATTGTTTTCCTCCCGTCGTTCCAGAGCTAGAAGGAAAAGTACGTCATTCTCTGAGAAGTTTAACTTCCTCTGTATTTACTAACTCTTTGTTTTGCAGGATGAGTGGCTCAAAAAGGAAAGCGTTCAACCCCACCGAAATTGTTTGGTTTCCAAATAGAAAGTTGTTATATGGTTCTACCCCTAATGTTCTAATGTGTAATTTAGTTTATGATTAATTTAGGATTTTTCTTTTGTAAAAAAAAAAAAATAATAATAATAAAATGTACTTGGATAATATACGAAAATTAGGTATTTTGGTCCGTTATAACCTATTTTACTATCTCCATTGGTGAGACTCAACTTTGAGTATCGAAATACAAAATGAGTTGTTTTTTACCTCCAATGGTGATACCCAACCCACTTCTCAATTTAGCAACTCATGTAAAGTCTAATTTCCCAATGATGAGACTCTTGAAAGTATACTAATGTCACTTTCAATTTATGGCCCACCAAATCCATATTGTAAGTTTTCCAAAATAAAAAATAAATAAAACTTAAATAAATTACAAAATATATTGTAATATTGATAAAGGGCCCACACTTTTTATCAAATGAGACTCAAAGTTGAGTATCTAAACTTAGCAACTTTCTTTTGGAGTTGCTAATTTTAGATACCAACTTATTGGTATCCTTTGCAAAAAATACTCTCTCTCTTCTAAAAAAACTCCATCAAGTCTTACTATTGGAGAAGGTCTAATATGTAGATTAAGGAGTAATTAAGTTATGGTTTAACCCTGGATACGAAGCAGCACCACTTACTGAATTGTATTGAAGGGCGTAAATGAATTGTATTGAAGGGCGTAAATTGATTCTCTAGGAGAGTCGAAGGTTATTAGCAACTCGCCAAACTTAATTTTCAAATTATATTTTAAAAATCCCTTTCTTTTTTAAATTGTTACATTTTTATTTTTAGCAAAATACACCACTCTTCATCTCTCTTATTTAATACTGCCCCAGTCAAACGCATCATATTTTTTTTCTTTTTTTTTTCCTCATATATTATTTTCTTGTCAATTAAATATTAACCCCACATCTACATTATTTTGAGGGTTTTTCAAAAATAAAAATAAAATATTAATTCCAGTATATATTTATTCTTTAATATTTTTCTAATACTTCGATTGCTCTTTTTACATCTTTTTAGATTATTTTTATATTAAAGCCAATCAATTTACCTAAATTATGTGCCGATCAAAGTGCTAATTAAAAAAAATAATAAACAACTGAGAGCATTGTATTTCTTTCATTACTTCACCAATAGTATTGTTCTCTTATTGATAGTTACAGCTATTGTAAAAAAAAAAAAAAAATATTGATAGTTACATGCAATCTACTAAATTGTGCGCTGGCCTAGCTACACTATGTGGTCGCTTGTGAAAAGCCAAAATAACCCTTGACCAAGTAACTCATATAACATTGACGAAGTAACCCCTGACCAATTAACCCGGCCTATAACACCAAAGAAGTAACCCTTATAACACTCACGAAATAACTCTTATCATGGTTGGCCACTCGGTGAGACCAGCCACATATAAGAATTTGTGATCATGCTCTAGTAATTGCTCTTACAAAATAAAAACTACTCGTATGTATAAACATATGTATAAACATATCAGTTCCAATGATTGTTTTTCTTTTGAAAATGTTTTTTAAAATAATTGTTTTTCATTAAAAACAAATTGAGTCTAATAGAAAACATATAGAGAGTATTATTACGGAGCAGTCCCGCCTTTATAAAAGGGGTCCTCTTCCTCAGCCCTTCATCATCAAAAACACATTACTCCGAAATAATGATGGTTTCGAAGGTGATGATAAGTTTGTTAGTTTTGGTAGCAATTATGATGGTTGCTACAATCTCTGAACCCATCTTATGTGTCCGCCAAAATACTCTCTCAGAAATCATACTCCAACAAGTTGTTGCTAATAATATGAATAATGCTTTCACTTGCGAAAAACAAGGCAAACTTTGCAATCCTTTTATCTCTTGTTGCGACCTCTGTTACTGCCTTGATGCCTTCTTGGCGGGAGCGTGCTTTTGTGAATATAAGTATAGTAGTACTAAAATTGTATTATCTGATCGATCGTCGTAGTCGTTGTCGTCGTACTTTAATTATCTCATGTTGTATGAGAGTCGGTGTTGGTTAATTGATTCAAACTAAGAGTAATTTTAGGATACTGTTTTTTGTCTTTCTGTTAAAGACTTAGTGAGTTAGTGGTCATAGGGTAAGTAGCTGAATTGTTAGTAGGCTAGTTAGTGGCTAAGTAGAGGTTTCCTAATAGGAAAATTTGTCCAAAAATAAATCTTTTAAATGCACCATTTTACCAAAAAAAAACTTTTTAAAAAATTTATTGTAAAAAAAGAAAAAGAAAAAAACCTAAAGTTAATTTTTTTTGTTCAAAACAACCTAGTACCACTAATAAACGTAATTAACCTCTAACTCTCACTTAACTATTTAATAATTAAATTAATTTATAATTTTTTTTTTATAAAAAACTCACCCCACCACCACCCCAACCACCCTCCTCCCTTTCCCCCTCCCCTGGCAGCAG